CGTGTGTGTGTGTGTGTGTGTGTGTGCGCGCGCGCGCGTGCGTGCGTGTGTGTGTGGTTGTCAAAGTTGTTCCTAATAGAGTAAAAGTACAGATGACTCAATAAGCTTAAAGCCTGATTGGACACTTTTAGTGACATGAAGAAACACATGCTGTCCAAGTTAATTACAGATCCAGATAAAAGTGGGTGTATGTTAAWTATCTTGCATGAATAAAAAAATGTGTGTGTGCAGCTCTAATCTTGGTGTTTTGCATTAAAATGAATGTTTAAAGAGAAAAAAATGCCTGTAYGTGTACTTTTCACCTCTAATATTTTCCTTACATCTGAAAACATTCCTGTAAAAGGTCAATATGAAACGAAGGTTTTCTTTAAACATGCAGCTTAATGGTCTCTTGAGAGTTTGACTGCTTAACTCTACTTTCTAAAAATACCTTGTTTGTACTTGTATTTCATCAGAAGTATTGGAAAATCTGATTTAATGTCAGAAAAATGCAGTTTAAAGCGAAGGGGAAGTTAGAAGGCCAAGTCTTTTTGTTGTGTTCCTGAACTTTAAATGCTGAAATGTCAATTTTGGTATGATAGTAGTTTATAGGCCTAATGGATGTTGAAAGTCCAGAGTAATCCAAAAACTTCTGTACTGGTTACAGTAACTGTGCTCTTAACCATCACATACACATTTCCAACAGTGGTAAAGATAATCACAATAAATAACTGATGTATGTGGATCAGAGGAGACCTTGGTTGTGTTAACTGAAGTTTAAAAAAAAAACAAATTAAATGATCAAATCTGTAGCAGTAAAAAATAACTGACAGTAAATCCACAATACGTTCTAAAATTCAACACTTTTTACTCTAACCTCACAAACCTTGACCAAAACAGACCAGAAAAYACAAACGTGTACATTTTCATTTTATGTGACAACATGACTATATTTACTGCAACATGTATTGGAAAATTGTTCAGAGCATGGATCATCGTGCCAAAATATTTTTTTCTTTAGTAGAAATCTTAACAAAAATGTGCCATATAAACACACACATAGCGACTACGTCATGAACTTCATCAGCGTCTTTCTGACCTGAGGGTTGGAGCACTTGACGTGGACCGGCTGTAGATCAACATGGAGACAGACCACAAAGGAGTGTCTTCCCTCAGAACTGCCCTGAAGCTTAGACGTGACAGCCAGTGTGGAGGTGCAGCCCATCGGCTCCAACAGGCTCAGGCTTTGCTGCTGTCCCAACAAGGTGTACACACTGAACTGACTCAGGCTGATTGTCCAYGGGAAGGCATCACCTGGTGGTATAAACATGTAGGGGTGGGGAGTGGGTGTCAAATGAAAACAGAATCTTACATCWTTGGGATTAAATGTAAGAAAAATATTCAGTAATGCTCTTAAAGGAAACTGTGTTATATACACGTGGACAAAACTTATTGGTGCCCCTCGTTTAATAAAAGAAAAACCCACAATGGTCACAGAAATAACTACAATCTGGCAAAAGTAATAGTGAATAAAAATTCTAAGATTAAGAACAAATGAAAGTCAGACATTGCTTATCAGCCATGCTTCAACAGAATTAAAAAAATAAAACTCATGAAACATGTCTGGACAGAAATGATGGTACAATAACTTAATATTTTGTTGCACAATCTTTTGAGTCAATCACTGCAATAAACGATTTMTGTAACTGTCAATGAGACTTCTGCACCTCAGCAGATATTTTGGTTCACTCCTCATGAGCAAACTGCTCCAGTTGTCTCAGGTTTAAAGGTGCCTTTTCCAGACGGCATGTTTCAGCTGCTTCCAAAGATGCTCAATTGGGTTTAGGTCAGGGCTCATAGAAGACCACTTCCAATGTTTTCCTCTTAGCCATTCTCGGGTRTTTTTAGTTGTGCTTTGGGTCATTATCCTGTTGCAAGACCCATGACCTGCAAAAAGGCCTCACCACACCATTGAACAAAGTCCTCGACCACAGCGCCGTGGCATGTTTTATTTTCATTAAGCAGACTAATGATGACAGAGTCATCTGCGTACTTCAATATAAGTGTGCCACCTCTGCTGTTCTGGCACATGTTTGCATAAAGGATAAACAGGAGAGGTGACAGAACACATCCTTGTGGGGAGCCGGTGGAGGAACAGACCTGATGAGACAGAGAAACCCCTCTCTGTGTCCTGTTCCTTAAAAAGTCTGAATAAAGACATGTATGGGTTCCCTTTCCTTCAAGATGTTTAAAAATCAGGTTCATTAAAGTGACTGAGGTGTCCTCCACTCTGTGGTCTATATGCAAACTGCAGAGGATCCAGATCACTCTCTACTTTCTTTAAGATTTCAGACCTCACCAGTTTTTCAAAAATGTTTCATCACAATGGATATGGCAATAGGTCTAATCATTTAGACAGATATGGTGCACAGAATACATAAAGAACTAAGTACATTTACGTAATAAATATGTTACACTGAAATTTCTGGTTCTGACTCAAAATATTCTTTCAGTTCTTGGCTAAATAAGATTCTTATTTCAAGCAGCTTTATAACGCAAACACAAAACTACAGCTTTTACAGCTGTTTCTACCAAATATTTTTACATCCTAAATTTTTATTTATTTATTTATTTATTTATTTATTTATTTATTTATTTATTTGAGTTTTGTTTTGAGAGAGTCCTAGAAGCTGTGGTGAAACCAGCTGGGATGGAAAACGTGTCATTTGATACATCTGGTGTTCAAGGTTTCAGAAACATGAAGCTGGACTGWGACAGATTATTATTTAATACCAATAACTTACAAAAGCCAAAACTTTCTATTAAAAACCATGCAACCAATATGCATTCCTATAGACAGCTGTAGTGAGGTGTTGGTTATGTGAAGCTCTTAGAGGAACACATGAAGCAGCAAATCACAGAGGATCACCAGGTGAGAGTGATTGGTACAGCTGCTGTGTGGTTTTCATTAAGGCCCTGTCACAYGATAACATTTTAGACAACTTTTTGCCAACTTATGAAAACAAAAAATCCACTTAATTAGAAATAAAAAGTTTGATTAGCATTACTGTATGTATTAGCCTTAGGCTTCCAGTTGATTTTTTTCATTCTATCTTCAACATAAATATMTCTAAACTTTTCACAAGTTGTCTAAAACGTCAGTGTGACAGAGCCTTTTAGTCTCTCTCTTTATCTGAATCAGAGATTTGAAATTCAAGGTGCTCAGAAGTAGAGAGGACTCTGAATATTTGGCAGGTAGTTGAAACTTACAAAGTGATTACTTGTTTTTCTTTACAAAACTGCTTTTTCTGCAAGAAAAACCCCCAGAAACATTTTAGTTTTCACATGAAAATCTGAATTTAGTTGTTTAAAAAGATTTACAGATATTTTTTAAACCATACTACAGAAGAAATAAATGGTTTTGCCAGCAGGGCGACTCTGGATGCTTTGATCCAAAACAAAGAAAGACAGACGTGTATGACTGTTGCAAACGTGATTAAAAAGTTGAGAGGAAAATAAGTATTTTTTTTCTTCTTCTGCTGAGGAAAAATGCTGCTCAAGCATAAAAGTGTTGCTTGTGTCAACTCTGCCAGGTGTGCACACCACATGTGCAAAGATCTATCTCTCAAAGTCGCTCCGCTTAAGTTTGTTTGTCTTCCGTCACGGTAAATGAGTAGTAGTGGGTCAAAGGTTTGCACACTGTTGAACAAGCCGTAATGATGATGAATTCACATAATATAGCTTATTACCGTTATTAAACATTTTATCTTAATTATCAATAAAAATGTTCTTAACTTTTTCACTCCTAATTGGAGTTCAGTTTCCAAGATTCTCATTTTTAACCTGAGGTATGTACTTATTGTTTCTCAGTAAAACCATTAAATCAATCTTCTTGACATGGGGTCATCTGTGGGGCTCACAGTGTGCCTGGGAATGTTTTGGTCTCCAAGTTTTTTTTTTCTTTTTAAAACATCAATTTAAGTGTAGGAGTAAGTAGTGATTAAAAAAAAAGAAAGAAAACTCACCTTCCACTAAAATGGGCTTTGAGACAACAAAGGGGAGCTCCTGCAGAGGTTCGATGTGTTTGTGTCCAGCACTGACGATGCTGATCTGGGGCAGGCAGACAACCAGAGTCCCAGGCATGGAGGCCTGGTTGTGGTACCAGCTGCGAACGGTACCAGGGATGTCCCCACAGATGATGGTGCTCGGAGAGGGGAGGCTGTCATTAGGCAGGAACACACAGCAAGACTGCAGCTCCACCTGGAAGACAGAAAACCATGAAGCCATGTTACCCACATTGATCATGGTTTTAATGAGCTGTCAGAAACAAAAGGCTGCTGCTTTGGGCAGTCATTAAAGAAAACCAATAAAACTAGTCGATGGGAAAGATTTAATAGTTTTTTTTAAACTCTTCTTGATCTGTGAAAAAAAGTAAACTAATCATCTTACATTGAGTTGTGCATCATCATTAAGGCTGCGTTCACACTGCAGGTCTTAATGCTCAAGTCCGAAATTTTTCAAAAATCCAATTTTTTGGCATGAACATTCACATTATATTTAAAATGCAACCTCCATCTGACTCCAGTGTCAACTCTCCACAGCCCTAATTTGAAGAAGATGTGACGTCACATTCAGCGAGCTGTTTACAGAAGTAGCTAAACATGGATGCTACTTGTTAGCATGTCGACTCAGAAGTTGTTCAATCAGAGCCAATAACTATCTGACACGATTCTTTAGTTCAGCATTTATATCTAAACCTGCCTCTGACCAAATGATCAGGTGCAGCATGTATTTTTGGATCAAGAGTAATGTGCTAAAACTAAAATATCGATTCACTAACTTTAGTATCAATAATGTCTAAGATCGACATTACTATCATACTGTATGTTTCTAGGGATTCTCAGTCATCCAGGACACGGAAAATGAAAAGAACAAAAATGAAGCAACTGGCCTCCTGTTCTGTAGCTGAAGACGTGTGGAGCTACAAGATTTAAACAGCATGACTCAAGGTTAGTGGATCGATCCGCTYACCCCCACCTCACAGATGTAAAAGTCAGATGTAACGAGAAGAGCATTCAGACTGCAGTCACTTTGAAAAGCATCAGATCTTTATCAGATTCAGCACCACATAATGAAAAGGCCTGGGTTGGATTTGTCACATTCAGATTGTCAGGAAAAAAAACAATCTGGGTCGTATTTACCTGAAGAGTGAACAAAACCTAATGTGATGATAATAACTTATAACACCATTCGTTAATATTTGGTAGGCTTCTGTCTGGGGAAGAAACGAATGTTTTCACAAAATTTATAAGCAGAATTTAGAAGTTTTCAAATAATTTAAAGTATTGTGAAAATTCCTTTTAGGAAACTAAATGTGTGTCACAGCATAAGGGACTTTGTTGAATCTAGAAATAAAATATTTTTTAAAATTTTTTAAGGAGGAGTGGAATGAAATTCCATCAGGTCTTCGTCGCCCACATTTCTGTTTGAAAACAAAGCCCATTTCACACGACATTTAGGTCTGTAACTAGTAGCCAGTCAGTGTAGAAGCTGTGTTTAACCTCTCTGAGCCCCAGCAGTGCTTTGTCCTTCCCCATTATGCTGAGGCTCACTGATTTAAAAGAGCAGTTCACATAAACTACTGGTGTACAGGGTTCAGGGGCCAAACAGCAGGTGCTGCTAGATGGTTGCACGTGTACTGTATGTCTGAGCAGCCTGAAACTAAATACTTACCTCTTCTAAGAATAATAAACAAAATCTACATCATCATTATATTAAAGATAAGATTACACAAGAGAAAGTTTAGGATGAGAATGAGAGAAGCGTAGGACTGAAAAATCATCTCATCTCTTCGTCTGATTACAAAACGTCCTTTCATGACAACACTGATAATGATTGTAAAAACAAAAACAAAAACACAGAATGCCAACCCTTTACTAGTTAGTTGTTATCTCTGTATTAGAATTAGGAATATGGAAGTAAACTACGGTTGGCTTTTTTCTTAACCTGCCTCTGGTGAAAACCAAAACAGTCATAGAAAAATGGTATTTTACATTTGCAACAATAGGAGCTGTAAGTTTTAGAGTGGGAAGTAGTTGATAAATACAGCAGCAGGCAGGATCTTTTACACAGTGGGGACTAAAGATTTGTCAGTGATTATTCTAACAGCAAAGGATGGCAGCACACGAAAAACTCCAAACTATATAAATTTAATGAGTTTAGACTGAGCTATTTGTTTGTCAACATGGCAGTTGGAAAGTCTTCAAAACCACCATAAATACTCAAAATACCATATTTTCTATAAGTGATTTAGGAATGTTTCATACATCTATAAGGCTGGGGCGATATGACTGAAAAATATATCACAATATAACCATTTGAATCAGTTATCAATAATTATGTTTTCTTTGAAACGATCAACATTCTATCAGACATATTTTTGATTGATATTGTATGTCTATCATGATATTTATTTTTTTAAGTTTATTTGTATAGCACATTTAAGCAAAAACAGGCAGTTCAAAGTGCTTTATGTCATAAAAACACAAAATAAAGTCATACAACACAGTTAATTGAAGCATTACAGTTTGTCAAGTGTCATTGTTACACATCAAAATGTTTAACATTTCATTTATAATGTTTCATAAGAAACTCTAAATAGGTGGCTTTTCAGTCTTGATTTAAAGGAACTCAGAGTTTAGGCTGTTTTATTGTTGATTTATCATCCAAAATCTATAACAACTACACAGTGCCTTACATACCCGCATAGACTTTCCGAGTTCAGTTTATAAATCATTTATTATCCAACATAAAATGTTTAACAATTGTGCTAAAAAAACATAAACTCCTTTGTTGTTAACTTTATGATGATGCCTGTTTATTGTCATTGTGCAGAGCACAATGAAATTACATTTATTACTGTATTCCTTGTGTTTTAACAAACAAAAAAACAATACAACTAAAAAAGTGTTACCAAAAATATCTTTGGAAAATGGGTGTTGAGAGAGTATGTCAAGACCTTTTACACATAATTATTGGTTCTTTTTTTTTTTTACAGAAATGCATTCACAGAGCTGGCTGACAAAATAATTTAAATCTGATCACCTCTAGCACAACAGGATTGTGCTGAAGTTTGCTGACRTTGCCTTGGTGATATTAGTTTCCTTAGTGTCAGCAACCCTTTTGTCATTTAACACCATAACTAACTAAACTATTGAAGTATTTTATGCCGTCGTCAGCACTACTGTTGTGTGATACTATCAGAACTTTGAAGTTAGAACCATGCTCTCCACCTTTAACATACAGCCTTTAACATACAGCCATTATTCCAGCCAACAGCTCCTCTCCTCCGGGCTGTAATATTGTGGAAGTGACACTGATACAGAAATAACAAACAACTATAAGACAGACAGGAAGGGAGAATCAAAAATAGTAGGCCTATATATCCCATTTGCATGAGTCACTGAGAGCTTCTCTTCTCTCTGACYATCTTCATTATCTTCTTTCTTTCACTAAACTCAAATACTTTTGCCTTTCATTTTARTTTAAGATGAACAGATTTTAAAGTCATGTTGTGACCAGAGCACAATAAAAAACAGAAGAAAGAAAAGGAGAGAGTAGGAGAAAGTGTGATGAATAATCAGGACTTTACAAAGTTGTAAGTTCAAAGAGTGAAATCAAAAGCCAAACTAGAAACAAAGAAAATATGTAGGTGTAAAAKGTTCAAGTTGTGTTTGGTATTTTTCAAACTGTTCTTAGCTCCAAAACAAGGAAATAAACAGTGAAGGAAGCAGTTAACTGATTAAAAGACTATGTTTGTATGTTCCCTCTCGTGTGTGTGTGTGTGTGTGTGAGTGTGTGTGTGTGTGTGTGAGTGTGTGAGAGAGAGAGAGAGAGAGAGAGAGAGAGAGACCGACCCTCCTATTAACAGGACATGAAACTAGCAGGGAACTCAGTATGCTCAGTCACATATTTGGGAGGCAATGAGCCATGATGGCAGTGTTCACAAGCCACTCACAAGGCTCTGCAAAGGAAATTATATTTTCATTCATAATTGCATAGTGGAAATGTCTTTTCTGTTAGTGGAGACGTGTGGAAAGGCAGCTTTTCCAAATGCAGCAAAAGGAAAAATCTGAAATGAGACTAAAATTAGAAATGGGCAGAAAAAAAACATCTGAAAGCAAAAAGAAAAATTGCAAAATGGAATATATTTTATGTAACTTTAACCTCTGATGTGTTCATGGTAATGTGGAATAAAAACAGCAGCACAAAGTGAAAGACAGCCTTGGATGAGACTCAGGCACAACAAATAATAAATACAGAAAGGAGCAGTGCAGCTCTTTGTAAACACGTGAGTGATTCCTGTATTAACAATRTTAAACATTCATTTATGATTACAAAATGTCAAACTGGGAACAAACTGTAAGAACAGGTTTAAAATAAATAGTCTAGGATGGCAGGTGTTCYCAGATAGGATCCACGTTATTACACAAGTTCAGAAAGGAAAAGAGAAGTCAAAGAAACGCTATTGTTTGCTACTTTTGTTGAATGACCTCATGTCCTGTCAAAGTGAAATAAAATCTTTAACATAACAAATGGAGTCAACTATCAGCTGTGTRGGACCATCTACCTCAGTTTCCAACTTAGACTGATGACAGACTCATTTAGGGAAAAACCCTGATTGACAATGTGTCTGTGATTATATTCAAGGACAGGGTGGTTCACTTGCAACACCCTAATATACTTTAAAAAATTAATTAAGTGATGAAAAATGTCAGTTTAAAAAATAAAAAGTAAAGCCAATCAAAACTTCATGAGGCTGCACATGTTGATTTGTTCCTATGAAACATTGTGACATAAATACTCATTTACAAATGTACACACACATGCCGTGTGCTAAAGCATGTCCACAGAAGGCACATGTAAAACTGAACATACACCCTCACAGATTATGTTCCCTCCTAACAACATGGTCAGTTAAGGAAAATGACTTCATGTGGGTTCCTTCTGGAAAAAGCAGCTGAAGAAAATAAGCAACATAGAAAYCTTTTTGGCTGAAAGCTAACGCACCTGAATCCCTGCCCTAGCATCTGTAATAACCACGAGTCTACAAACACAACYGAGCTGAGTTAGTTCACTCCAACATGCTGCTGCACCTGGCCATCAACTGCCGCTGCCTCTCAATATTATTTACACAATGAGAAAATGCTATGTGAGAAAAAAAAAACACTTGCATTTATTTATACTTATAGTGAATGACA